ATTTAGGACCTTTTTAAAATAAGTGATCTAAGGTCCTCATTATGAACTATTTTTACATCACCTGTAATAACGTGTCCAGCAGGACTATAGTTATAGGGCGAAGAAGAACATGAACACGAAAGAGGATTATTTTTCAGATAGTCGATATCCAGGCCATGTAAAGTGTTTTTGTACCTCCTGAGAAGAATGTTCAGAAGTTTACGAACAAGGTACGACGTCCGACGAACGACGACGGACGAAAACAGATAGAAATAGGTCCCCTGAGTTTGCTCAGGTGACCTAATAATGGTGTGTATTGATAATTATTATAAATAAACTAAAATTTAAGAAAAATAAGGGGGGTCATTAAAGTGAACCTATGTGCAGTGTGGTTTTATTATTGTTTTTAGTGGTTAAAATTAACTTCCGTTATCTTATTATTGTTCCACTGTTTATAATGCTAGATAAAAATATGGAGTAACGTATGAATATAGATAATCAATGTTCAACTACATTGAAAAGGTAAACGATATACGAGGTGCAATATGCCAACAACTTGTGTATCTTGTGAGATTATAATGTGCCGAAAATCATTTGATAAAAGTAAACGAAAATAAATCATCCTGTTCATACCTTACAATATGTATATTTATGTATTCATAAAGTTATCAGAAAAAAAGCTAATTTGAAATTACCCGGACGTTCGATGTCAAACTAAATTTGCAAGGCAATTTCCCTTGCATCGGTATTCCTATAGGATATAAATTGTGTATTAAAATAAAATACTTTTTTGAAAAAATCTTGCATTTCAAAACTGAAACCAAAAATTAATTTTAATTACTTTTTTTTTTAATTATTTAGTGCCACAAATGGGTTCGCCTATGTGCAGTGTGGTTGTATATATTTTTGTTCATTAGTTAAAATGAACTTCCGTTATCTTATCTTATTTTATTTATCTTATTGTTCAATTGTTTACAATTTTAGATAGTAATATTGCAAAGGGAAAAGGTATATGGTGTGCCATATGCCAACAACTTGTGTACCTTGTGATATTACAGTGGGTCGTAAAACATCATTTGATAAAAGTATACAAAGGTAAATCCTTCAGTTCAAACTTAAAATTATGTATATATACATACATTTATATGTTAGCCTATATTCTTTATTTCACAGTTTTGGTTATTCCTTTTCCAAGAATTTTAATTTTGGACTAGTTTGAGACATACCTGAATGTCCGATGTCAAAATACAAGGCAATTTCCATTGGAACTTTATTCCTATTGGGTAAGCAGTATATTTAAATAAAATGCTATAAAACTTCTTATTTGAATTTAAGATGAGAGATTAAAATTTGAAAGTAAAAATTAACTCTTTCTACTTATTAAAAAAATAGTTCATGTGCAAAGAATAGAAATACGTCTTGACCGAATAGTGGTTTATTTTAGACGTCGTTGTTCAACGTTCAATTCTGTGGTTTCTGGCTCACTCGTTCCTACAATGTTGGCAGTTGTTGATTTAGTGGGCTCGTCTCTTTCCTCGTTATTTTCATGTCGCATATACTTTTGTGGGGTTTCTTCTGACACTTTTTATGCGCCAGGATCGATAAATCCAGGGCTTATATTGTTTTTTCCTCTCTGTCTGTCTGTTTGTTTGTTTGTTCCGAACTTTTACCGTCACCATGACTTTAGAACCATAAAAGATAGAGATTCATATTCTGTATGCATACTCAACTAATTCAGTTCTTTCAAATGACACCATGGTCAATGACCTTATGACCTTGACTGTGGCCTATATGCTAAAAATAGCTTTTTTCTGCAAACTTTACCCTTCGCCATAAATTTTGAACAATTAAAAATAGAGACATCATATTTGGTATGCATACTCCACTTAATAAGCTCTTTCAAACGACATCAAGGTCAATGACCTTGTGACCTTGACTGTGGCCTATATGCTAAAATAGCTTTCTTCTGCAAACTTTAACCTTCTCCATAACTTTTGAACCATGAACGATAGAGACTTCATATTTGGTATGCATACTCTACATATTAAGCTTTTTTAATTGACATCAAGGTCAATGACCTTGTGACCTTGACTGTAGCCTATATGCTAAAAAAGTTTTTTCTGCAAACTTAAACCTTCGCCATAACTTTTGAACCATGAAAGAGACTTCGTATTTGGTATGCAAAATCCACTAATCAGGTTCTTCCAAGTGATACCAAGGTCAATGACACTGTGACCTTGACTGTGACATTAATGCCAAAAATAGCTTTTTCCCGAACTTTGTTGCCGTAACATCTTGTTACATCTGTTGCGGGATTTACAATCTGAGGAGCGGTGGTTTCCTATGCAGTTGAAACATAATTTCTTCCGTCTTAAGATGTCGAATCTTTCACTTACCTCTGGTACTTCTTACAATCCCCTGGAAAGTGATTTTCAGTGCAACAATACATGCATGGGCAGCTCTTCATCTCTATTGTTTCGACATAAGGAGTTGAAACTCTTTTGTTTTCTGGTTGTGTCTATTATGAACATTGCGTTGTTTCCTTGAGGCTCGAGTAAGAAACATGATAGCTGTTACGTGGAATACATCGCTGTTTTCAATCTGGCCTGATTTGAGGATTTTGACTTCTTTGCTGATAGCTTTACGAAGATCGTGTAGTGAAATGTTGTCACAATCGTACTCACGTGCAATGTTTTTCCTAATTTCGGCTGGTAGTTTGTTGATTACGACTGGAATAAGTAAAGCTCAGTTCATTTCTTGTCTTTGTCCAAGACACTCTTAACTCCTGATATGAGATTTCAAGAAGTCACCATAATTTCTTAAACTAATGGCGTCGTTTCTGGGAGTATGCAATTCCATTAGTGCTCTCATGTGGGCATTGATATTTTTTTTGGTTGACCAAACCGTTCTTTAAGCAGTCTATGATGGCTGTTTCATAATTAGCGTATATTAAAGTAAATCCTGCATGGTTTGTGCTGCTGCGTCGCGTAATTAAGACTTGAGATGCATGTAGGTAAACTTTTGAAATGGTGTCAAAGAATGGTTGCAATGAATCGCTGATTCGTAGGAATCCCAAAATGTATCCCATTTTAAAACATCCCCTTAAGATGCGGAAAATCTTACCTTGGTATTTGATGATCATTCTTGGCGTGTTGGGATGGTAATGACAAAGCATTTTCCTGGCTACGTTGTGCATCAAGATCAGAGACAGGGAGATTGTTCAGAATACTCTCACTTGAGTTAATTGTAGCTGACGTTATGATCATGAATTTCTATGTTGGGTGTAAAACACTCAGCAATGGCGTTTAATGTTTTACATGGAATTTTTTCTGAGAATTTTTCAGTTTGCCTAATTTTGGAATTTAATTCATACATATACTAATGATCATCTGTGTAAACGATTTCAGCCTCTTCAGATAAGGCCAGCCCTCTAATATACGTTCATTCATTTCTTGAAGTCTTTGCCTTTTCTGTGTTAGAGATTTTCTAATTATATCGATTTCCTCGGTAGCATAACTGGCTGACTTTTCTTACAAGTCCAAAACACGTTCGAAAAGTTTCGTTACTACGGATCTGTTTTCACCTCTAATAACATTCAGTCTTCCTTCCATTGTACGAATTATGTAGACATTCCTTCGGCCACGGCACCAAAATGTTGTTGAAAGAGTAGAAATACGTCTTGATCGTATTGTGGTTTATTTAAGACTTGTTGTTATATATAGAAACGTAACGTAAGGCATAACAATGACGTTAACATTGCATAAACTCGTGGATACATGGTAATCCATGACATTAGTTTTTAGTAAAATTACATGTGTTTGCATTATTCAATTGCCACTCATTAACCCCAGCTATGATAATAAGAAACTTTTCAATTAATCGAGCCAAATAAAGGCTCTAGGTAGCCAAGGGGGTTATTGTAGCAGTTTCGTAAGAATTTGGAAGGTATAGAAAATTCCATGAAATTACTTCTGATAGTATTTTCAACTTTTAAACTAATACAGAATGAAGGTTAGGCAAAATTATATTTCACCCTTTAACAAGTCAAGTCCATATGTTTGCTTGATTGATTTTAAGTTGTTTTACGCCCAATTTCCATAGTTTTAAGGTGCATGCATATTTTCCCGAAGATATTGACTTATATAGGCAGTACGGCGCCGCGTCATGCATAAGACGTAAACGAAGATAGTGATTGTTCCTTCGCCAAGCGCTCGGCACTAGAAGTGAAAGTCACGGGTCTTTCGGATATGACCTTAAAAACGTAGGTCCCGTGTCACGGTAGGCGCTGGCACGATAAAGAACCCTCACTGCTCAATGGCCCTGAGTGCCGAGCATAGGTCTAAATTTGAAGCCTTCACCGGCATGCGGTGACGTCTCCATGTGAGTGAAAAATTCTCAAGAGAGACGTTAAACAATATACAATCAATCAATATATCAATATATAGGCAGTATCTATTTTTTTTATGCTACGAGTGGCATTGATTAACACTGTATTGGAATTTGAATATAGTAGTTCATATAGTTATTCAAATTTTGTATATGTATTGCAAACTTGACTTCAAAATTAACTATACATGTGTATTTTCTTTTCTTTTTATTTTGACAAATCAAGCATTATCACTGACACAAGGATCAGAATATAAGTACATGTACGACAACAATGAAATCTGTATTGATGTCAAGACGGACATTCTGTTTACCCCGAGTGATGGAAATGAAACTGTAAAATTTGATGGAAATAATTTCATTGTAATGAGTGAGGATTGTGCAACGAAAGGAAAACATCAGGCAGTGTTGATACCAAAAAATTCCATTGAAGACCTTCTGTCCTTGACTTTCAATGGTGTCCCTAATTCTTTCCAAAATCATCCTTTGTAAATCCAAGTGTCAGAATTTTCACTATAGTAAATCCAAGTCTTAAAGTGTTTACTATAGTAAAAGTGTCAAAGTTAACACTAAAGTTAACATTGTAAACTAAACTTTTATTATTATGTAAATATCTATTTTGATACTTATTTCAGTTTTTGTGTGTAGTGCTGATCAGATGACAACTGTAGCACAAGAGACAACAAAAGCAACCTCTGAACCCACTAAACTAACAACAGAACCATCAGCATCTAATGTAACAACAGTGGGTCCATCCAATGTAACAACAGAGAAAACAACAGTCGGACTATCTAACGCCACAACTAGGGACATCATCATTGCACCAATAACAGTGGCCTCCAATACTTCACCTCCATTCCCTCCAGTTTCTAGATACGCAGTCGTAAAGAGAGTCTTCATTTTCAACAAAATAATCTGTGTCGTCATGGAAGGAAGCTTCCAGCTTAAAGTGACTTATAGAACAAAGGATAACAAAATGGTAAGATTTTGTTTGCATTTAATAATTATTCAGATTGGTTTTATACGTAAAATTAACTTTTAATAGACCCATCAGGGCAGGTCATTTTCTCTCCGTGAAATTTTTGCCCTTTTAAACTTAGGAAATATTTTGCTTCGTTTTAAATTAGTCCAGTTATTCTTTTTTAAATATAATACTGTGTTTTTTCAATTCGCTCTCCTGTGCATACATCTTTAAATTGAAGTAAGCATTTCTATATTCATTACAGGCCAGTAAGATTGTGAATGTTCCAGCTAGAAGTGATGTCACAGTCAATGGAACATGTGCCAGTGGCATTGACACTGAATCCAGTCTCATGATCAAACCAATAGATAGAGAAATTCAGTCCTTGACATTTATTTTTAAAATCATGGATGGCAAATCTTACCTTTATTCGTGGTCTGCTGAGGTGGATCTTACAAAGTTCCCTGATGCCATTGAGTGTAAGTATTAAAAATATATATTTTCTAAATAATAATAATTAGTAATATTGCAATGAACATAAAATCTACACAGTGCGGATGATTTAAGGAATCACTGTCTAGTTAGGAGACAATGCCAGGGCATCAACGATAGTGGGAAAGATTAGATTACTGGATTGCATAACGGCCCAGGAATAGTTTCCTTCATGTAACTAGACAGTGGTTTTCTTATATTTTCATTTTTACTTGAAATAACAATCTTAAAATGAATCAAAATACCGTCTAATTTAGTCGATTTAAGATGCATGAGGCATTTCATGATATTGACATTCGCTGTTTTTTTTTCTACAAAGCCAACTGTAAAATTAATTTGAAAGTCATTCTCGTATATACTCCCGAGTAGAAATATACAAGGAGAAAAGTGCGTTAACGTGACGTCACAATAAGGCTACAGCGAATGTAGTAAAAGTATAACGATATAGGGCAGCGAGAAATTCAAATACTGAGTATATTTTTGGTGTTTACAAACATGTAAAATGTAAATATAAGGAATATTTTTAAGTTAAAGCTGACGCGCTTCATAAAATATGCCTACGTGACAAATCTTTGTGCTTCACACACCAATAACTCACACAAAACTTAAAAACATTCCTTAATTATTTTCCATTGCTCCGCACCATGACGTCAACTGTTACTATTTAAAAAATAGTCCCATAAGAACACGAAATAAATTTAGTGATTGTTTTAGTTGCTATAGTCAAATATCAACACTTATGAATTAGACAACAAAAGAATTTTAAATTGTCATCAAAGCAATCTTGTTAACATTAATTATATATGTGGCCTAGATTTAGGTCGTTGGAAGCACAAACACGTACAAAAATAGGCCCTATATGTTACTTCACCGCAATATTGAATGCGATGTTGCTGATTATGAAACTGGATTTGGTCAGGAAACCGCTTTAGGTCCAAAGATAAATCATTAATTTTTTTTGTAAAAAGATATCTAATTACTTAGTGAACAATGAAACAAAAACATCTTTTTTTTTCTTCAGTGCATTTATACGCAGGTTGATCTTTGACCTTTTAGTAGTATTTCAATAGAAAAGTATACATACTACTGGTATTACAAAGAAATATTTTTAAAAATGGACTTTTGTAGTTTATCATTAACTTCCGTACTAACTAATAGAGTAACTTAATTCAGGATTCTTTATAACCTGTCAAATGTAGTAAATGTTACTGAACATTGTATCATGAAGTTTCATTGTTTTTATATGATCCAATTTCAGCTGAGTTAATCCACAGTGTAAATGGTACACCAGTGGAGCTGTCGAGTCCTGAATCACATTACAAGTGTATAAAAGGAGGGACCTTCTCAGATGATATCCTGACCCTTATGTTCAGGGAGTTAAAAGTACAGGCCTTTAATGTGGAGGACGGGAATTTTTCAGACTGTGGTATTTGTTTTTAGAAATGCATATCTGATTGTCTCTATATTGTGATATATGGAGATATCGCACAGTATTTGAGCTTAAAAGTTCATTAAACATTACAAAATTAGAGCGGAGCAAACACGGACCTCCAAAACATCAGAGTTTCTGATTGACAATATCTAATTATCTATGTGTGTTTTGGAGACCATGTCTTCCAACAATCTTTTGAAATTTCCATGGGTACCAATTGTTCCCCGTTATTGGCAGACCTATTTTTTTGTTCATATGAAAAAGAGCGAGTGAAAAATCTGGTGGATGAACAGAAAATAACGATAACTATGGCCGTCGACATTTAGATATATATCGACGACATATTGTCAATTAAGGTAGAATTCTTCTCTGATTTCTGACTAGATGGAATATTCAAAGTACATTTGTTGATATGTCTTGTATATTTAGATGTAAGAGATTTAAAAGACCATATTTTTCTTTCCTCATCACAATTACTAGTATACAACTTTAAATAAAAAAGGTAAACTGCGTTTGAAAACTAGCAGGGACTATATTTTTGGCGGAATAGTGTCGTATGAAAATATCTTCTTTTCTGCCTCTCAAAATTATTATAGACTATTCAATTTAGTTATAACTTTTTGCTATCAAAGACTAGACGAAAATTTCAAATGTAAGTTAAATTAATAATAAGGGACTAAAGTTTCAAAATATCTCAAATGAATAAGATTTTTCCTCACAAACTAAAACTATGTTGGATTTTAAATGCTCAAATCTAAATATAAATTTGAGCAAAAAATCAATAAATTTTCTGTATACTTTCCTAGTAAACGATTAAAACTTTTAGTTTTTGTATCATTTTGTACCTTTATGGGACAACTTTACTATATGCGAAAATTGGAAAAAGTTAAATATAGGAAGCATATGAAAATAACTAATAAATCTTACAAATTTAAGAAAACTAGAGGGAGGAAATTTGGATTAGCGAATATCCATTTTATTTAAATTATCCATGTCAATTTGGTAATATCATCTTTAAAATCCTATACGGTTAGTATCTTTTTATGCAAAAAGAATAACATTTAATCCTTTGAATTACAAGAAGGGATCGCATGATTGGAAACAGTAACTTTTTAGGTCACCTGAGTAAACTCAGGTGACCTATTGCAATCTGTTTTCGTCCGTCGTCGTGCGTCGTGTGTTGTGCGTTGTGCGTTAACATTTGAACATTTTCAGCTTCTTCTCTGCAGCCTCTGAACCGATTTCAACCAAATTTGGCATAAAGCATCTATGGGTGAGGGGGAACAAAAATTGTGAATTTCATGATCCCTGCCCCCCCCCCCCCCCCGCCTGGGGCCTGTGGGGTGGGGCCAAAACCACTAAAATTAGTGCAATCTTTAAAAATCTTCTTCTTTACTCCTGGACATCAAGCAGTCAAACTGTTTGCATGATTGTAATCAGCAATGAGTCCTGTACCAAATTTGTGAAATTCATGGCCCTGGGGTCAGGGGTTCTAGTGCTAAGGCAGGGCTAAATAAGTAGGTAGTGAAAATGCATTATTTCTTTGAAAATCTACTTCTCTGCTCCTGGGTATTAAATAAACCATCTAAGTACATAGTTAAGATGAGCAAGAGTGCCTCTACAAGAATTTTATGGCCCCAGGGTCAGGGGTTCTGGTGTAAGGGCGGGGCTCTATAGATTATATAGCGAAAATACATGAATTCTTTGAAAATCTTCTTCTCTGCTCCTGGGTATTAAATAAACTAACTAAGTACAGAGTTATAATGAGCAAGAGTGCCTCCACCAAAATTGTGAATTTTATGGCCCCAGGGTCAGGGGTTCTGGTGTTAGGGCGGGGCTCTATTGATTATATAGTGAAAATACATGAATGTTTTGAAAATCTTCTTCTCTGCTCCTGGGTATTAAATAAACTAAGTTCCTAGTTATGATGAGCAAGAGTGCCTCTACCAAAATTGAGAATTTTATGGCCCCAGGGTCAGGGGTTCTGGTGTTAGGGTGGGGCTCTATTGATTACATAGTGAAAATACATGAATTCTCTGAAAATCTTCTTCTCTGCTCCTAGGTATTAAATAAACTTACTAAGTGCATAGTTATGATGAGCAAGAGTGCCTCTACCAAAATTGTGAATTTTATAGCCCCAGGGTCAGGGGTTCTGGTGTTAGGGCGGGGCTCTATAAATTACATAGTGAAAATACATTAAATCTTTGAAAATTTTCTTCTCTGCTCCAGGGTATTAAGCAGATGAACTACCAATATAGTTATGATGGACAAGGGCCCATATCTTCCACAATTGTGCATTTCAATGCCCCAGGGTCAGGGGTACCATAGAGGTGGGGGGTTGTACTTATATACTGAAAATGAATGAATGGTTTGAAATCTGCTCCTTGCTATTAATCAAATATCAAGGACTAAGGGTCAGGGGTTTATGTATGGTAGGGGCACTACTGATTATTGCTGAATATTTCTGTTAGTTGAAATGCATTTTGTGTTCCCTTACCCTACATATGGGTATTAAGTAAACAAACTAAGCAACTGTTAAGTGTATTGTTTTGATGATCAATGGTGCCTCTTTCAAAATTGTGAATGCCAAAGCATCTGGCTTAAAACATGAATCAAATTCAGTCCCTGGAAAGTTGTTGCATAAATGCTCAGGTGACCTATAAGGCCCATGGGCCTCTTGTTATACTTAATGTCAAGGAAAAAAAGCAATGACCTTGACCTGACTTTGCCTCTAATATTAAACGGCCAAATTTAATCTCACTGATATCATCACATAGTGATATTGTCCTCTTAATTCTGTGAAATTTTATTAATTTTTAAATACAAAAAGTTGAGAAGAATCCTATCTTAACAATGGCAATTTCCTTTCTTATGTCCATACAATAAATCCCGGTGAGCTTGAGGAAAAAGAAACCGCAGATTCTTACACATCTGTTTCATGATTTATTTGAATATTTTACTTGAAAAGGACATGAATAGTGATCTAAAAACCAAGCTGTATGATGAACGTGATGGCTTTAACTTTACTATTGTCAATTTCCATTACTTATGCAGCAAATTATTGACAAGAGAGTTGATGAAACAAGAATATCAACAGTCTCGTTTAAAGTTATCATTTCGTAAGTTCTATGGTCGATACAATGACCTTGTCAGCAAATACAATTATCATTGAGTCAAATGCTGACTGACTTTTTTCATACCAAATGTTAGTCCATTATTTATGCACTGAATTGACGACGGATTTTCCCGTTATTTCACGATCATGACAATGAGCACACGTCGGGTGTGAACGGTCAGCAGGAGATGTTCACTCCTCCATGGCACCTGATCCCACCTCTGATGTTTCGGAGGTCCGTGTTCGCTCTCCTCCTATTTTGTATTGTTTTATGGACTTTGATATAGAATACTGTTCGTTATCTCTATATCCTTCCTTATCGTTAATTGTCTGGGTTTTTTTTTATCAATTTTAATACTTGATTGCAAATTAACTGGCTCAATCAAGAATTTTACATCCATGGGATCCATCCATCCTTTTCCGGCGACCGAAATTCCTCAAACTTTTAACATCGATCTTCGGACGTGTCTCTTGTGTCTTTTCAGTATTATTTATCAATTTTTACAAATAAGAATATTCCAAGACAACAATCTGTTCACTATTACTGATTGCAAGTTGCCTTTCACAAAATATACCATTAGAAATTAAAGGTACTTGGACACAGATTTGAAGTTATTTTTTCTCTATAATGTAACCAACCGGAGATGGAAAACGCAGGTTCAGTTTAATATATTTATTTGGAAAAGCAATGGCAGATTTACAAATACTCAAACATATATACAATATCATAATACACATAGACACTGAGACAAAATACTTTCATTTCCTATTAACTTCAAAAATAAGAAATTTTAAGTTTACGAAGCCCAAAACGTCAATTTCATAGTTTAAAATACATTTCTTTCAAAAATATGAAAACTACGCGAGTTTATAACTTGGACTTAATAAATAAAATACAAAAATTTAATAGACTAAGAAAATTACCTTTCAAGTGGTGACAACGGGCAGCTGGTAATAAGTAAGTTAAATTTCCCGCACTGACAGGGATGGGCCTATGCCTCAGTATATATAGCAGGAAAACCGGTTAAACAAGGGGGTACAAATTTACTAGCCAAACAACAATTATTAGAATAATAATTGTATTTATGTATTTCATGCGATAATTTGTTTGGAGGTTTTCGGAAACATTTACGTTGGTAAATTGTGAAAATTCTCAGATCCACACCTTGCCTAATTGTAATGGAATGTGTAAGGTCACGTGGTCAGCTCAGCGAGTCATTCACACTCGCGCGCTCACCACCGCTAACATGAAGCACGTCTATTTTGAAGATTTTACGTAACTGATAAGCAAAGCTTGTGAATCTGATCCCCCTTCTTGTTTGTTAAATTGTTCACATTTATACCGTCATTTTAATAAATGACATTTTTCATCAACATCAAAGTGTTTTATTTGACTTTTACAAAATTAGCAAAAACAAGCTGCGGTGATCTTGCCTATAAGCATTAGAAGACATAAATGAGATTTTGTGAGTAGAATTCATGAATGGAAACTACTACCAAATATGACATAAAGTAAATTATTGCTCAAGTAATTCAAAAAAAAGATAAAAAAAAATATTTTAAATAAATATGACTCTGCCACATACTCCCCAGCTTTAAATTTAGCGTCTCGATAAATGAAAATTATATATTTCATCAAAATACATTTTTCAATAATGGAAACATACTCTCCAGAAAAAAATGCATATGAACATCAAAAGTAATAAAAAGATTTAGCATAAGTAATAGCGTTATTTAAGAAACACATCTCGTCACATCACAGTGGTTTAAGGTTTTCTGGCAGTCATCGTCTGACACAACACATTTCCTGAAATATTCACAACACGATACACAGTAGAGTCCCATGAATCTTCGATTCTGTTTGTGCCGCGGATTTGAC